TCATTTTGAAATTGCGTGTGATCAACTCTATCACACTATTGACACACTAAAAGGGGACCCTTTCAGACCCCCTACTTCCCTCACGTGCCCACACTGCAGCAAGTTATGACAATGTCATAGCCACTATTTTTCTTTGGTCATGTTTGCTCTAGCGGACTATTACTTGGCAGCTGATTGCGGGTCCATAGCCACGGCGCAAAAGTTGAAAGTTTTGTGTTTAATGACATAACATTACTGTCCTGTTTCTTGTCTAAAAAAAAATTTCTTGATGTGAACCATGCGGAAGTGCATCACAATTCTGTGCGCTGACATGGTCAAGCGTTGCACCCGCTAGGTGGCGATAGTTGCACCCAGTGGCTTGGAATTTTTTAAACCGAAACTGACACTGGTCAGTAATATCGAGCCTGTTTTAATTATCTGTTACACGCTGCCGAAAACGATGTGTCGTGTTTTGACTAACAAGCACCCAGGAACACATTGCAGCAAAAAAAAAAAAAAAGGAAAACAGGAGACCAAAATGTTCGTGTCAGTAACCCTTTAACCATGTACGCTGACATACTCTATCCAAGCATACAGATGTATTGTCTCGACACAAGTGCCCAACGCTTTTTGGCTGGCTTCAGTCTAACTATTCCAGGCCACACTGCAGAGCGTTTAAGTTAAGCTTGCTGGTGACTGTACTGAATATTAAACTGTCACTGAAATAGCACTCCTACGTACCAGACAGTGATAGGGACAGTGGTGCTTCATTGTCCCTATAAATGCTTTCATGAGAACAGTCGCTTTCACGACCAATGACAGACGTCCTCTCCTCTCAATCTTTTCGTTTGCTCACACAATCATTGCTCTTGTTCTCCACATTTTTGTCGGTTGCCTGTCATGTGGCAATACATATCCCCGTCATTTGAGTACGAAACTTGCTTATGCTATTTTTTGTGCGACGGCTAAAAAAAGAGAAAGATGCACGGCTTATTAGAACCTTCTACATTGCCTTCACATAATCTCATTGTGTTGTGCATGACTGTGATCAATCACTTTGGTAAAGCAAAACAGCCATTTGGGCTAGTTGGTAGCGGTTCATTATGAATGATAGACACGAACTGGAGGAGAGAACAACAGCACAAGCGCACACTTGCAACTGAAAGGTTATTCAAAGTGCAACACATATATATAGCTTACAAGAATTGTGACATGATACAAATTCTCTTGCCTAAAAAACGAAAAAAAAAACAACAGAAAAACCATTGTAATTCCACAAAAACGTCATTAAAATTTCATAAAGGCGCATGCGCCTGAACAAGAAAGATAAGCAAAAATATACATAAGGGGATAAAATAAACAAAAAATATTTGCACAGTGAGTTTACCAAATATAAGTACTCTTTCTCTGAAATGGAAATGGAGGGATGGCTAACATATATTTCGCCGCATCTCTTAATGTGAAATGGTTCTATTATTTCGCGGGTGGTCCCTGTGCCTTGATTGGACAGTCGTGTCTACAAAAAAGGGTGAGCAACTGCACATAATGCAATGTTGCACCAAGTAGGTACCGTTCTTCAAGGTGACCGCCCTGTAATGCTCCTGTAAAGGAATATTTAAACAAAGACTGGTTTGGCCCACGTATACACGTCCGCATTAGAGTGGAATCAGGTACACAACTCCTATGACACATTGAACGAAAGGAGAGCTGTGTTTGACCTGAAATTCCTTGTTTTCTATGCACTTCGCTTTCCCTGCTATCTTTCTCTCTATTCTTGCAAATGCACTATTAAGTTTATTCAGAGCCGAGAAAACCAGTTTCACATCGATGCAATTAGCCACATTCTTCCACCCATGGAACATTTTATGAATGTAAGGAATGACTACAAGTTTAGATGTTTGCGATATTTCATTCTCTGCTTCTTGTGCCTTCAAACCTCATTTCAGGCTCTTTAATAACTTCTGCGCTACCTTGCACAAGACCGTCTGCGGGAAACCAGCACGTGCTAACCTTTGTAGTTGGTTGCTGGAACTTCCGGGCAGTTTGTCTGGACATAATTTGGTTATTGCTGCTCGTAGGCAAGATACTGCTACCCCATTTTTGCTAATTTTTGAATTTCCTAAATTAAAATTAAGTATTGGCTTTTTTGAGCATGGGAGGTACGATCGCACACATGGTTATCTTCGGTCGTTATTCTTAACTCCAAAAACTGTAATTATTTTGCTTTTGGTAGTCCCATTGTGAATTTTAACCCACGACTGTGCTCTTGAAACAGTTTCAAACCGTTGTAAACTTTGTGTTCCAAACAACCTGGAGTGATGAACACAAGAAAGTCATCTACATATCTATTTTTATTGCCACAGTTCCCAAATTTTCATTAATCTGTTTGTCGATTCTGCCTAGAAAAATATTGCTGAGCACAGGATCAACCTTAGAGCTAATGCGAACCTTTCTTTTTTGTAAGTAGAATTTTCCTTTCCATTCCACAAAGGTGAATTGTAAGTAAACTGACAAAATCTCCAAAAACGTGCTGACCAACAAACTTCAGGAATTATGGAACTTAATATCATCATTTTCTTCAATTATGCAATATCGAACTCTATTTAAAAGGTCATCGATAGGCATTGAACAGTACAGATCTTCTACGTCTATGATGAAGAACTGGTGTGCATCTGTGTTAGACTGTTTAAAAAAAAACTTACAAGTTCATCAGAGCTTGTAATGTTGAACGGGTCACACACCGACAAGTCTTGTAGACAAGTCCTGCAGAAACATTGAAACATTACGCTGCCAGGTGCTTCTTTCTGTCACTATTGCACGGAAAGGAATCCAAGGCTTGTGGATCTTCGCCACGAAGAAAATCTGAAGTTAAGTAGTTTTTCCGATTTCTTTACAGCTGCAGCGGGCTTTTCAAGGTTGTGCTTTTGCAACAGGGCCAATGCTCATTCTTTTACTTTCTGAGGCAGCACATAATGCACTTGTATCATGTGACAATTTTTGTAAGTTATATATGTGTTGCACCTTCAATAAACTTTCAGTTGCGAGTGTGCGCTTGTGTTGCTGTTCTCTCCTCCAGTCCTTGTCACATACCACGCCCCACTTCTATCTTCCATAATGACACTTTGGTGAAGGTGCTGTAATGTTCGACATGGCACATTGTGAAATGAAGGTTTGCCGTATTTACTCAAACCTAGGCCGATAATTTTTTTTTTTCAAATATATTTGCATTAAAGTCTAACGTCGGCTTAGATTCGCGGATTTTGAAAAGCGCGCCATTTTTCATTAAAAAAAAAGTGATGCACAACTAGTGCCCCCTAGACAGTATTATAGTCGATAGTGGCCAAGTCAACGGCTGGCTTAAGTACATACGTGAGACCGCCATTTTGATCTTTGTGGCAAGTGTTGAGGCGCGCTTCGAGTGGTCTGTGTGTGGCGTAGCTCAATGGCACTTCACAGGCGGTGTCATTATAGGGCCGTTTATAAAAAGAAAGTTATCCTAGGTGCAGAATCGTTGTGCAACGTTCAAGTCAGGCGATACCTTGGAGTGGCAGAAAAAAATGTGCGTCGCTGAAGGGGCTGTGGCGTAGGACAACCCAGGAACTTTGATCGTGCACACTTTTAGTAAGTGCAGCATATCCAGTGCACTTGATGGCACCGAGGATTGCGCAACGTTTGAAGACAGCGACGACGAAAGTAGTGGTGACTCAAAGTGAGCGTGGCATCTCTATGATTCAAATAACTAAAAGCAGCATAAAAAATGCAAAGAAACACACACAACAAGACTAGCAGCTATGTTTTTGCATCATGAGCCAACTGCTTTGTTTCCTCTTTATGATCAATAAATATTTTCTCTTTGTGAAGGCTGTCTTCGCTGTTTCGTTCGGCCTACATACGAGGTAAGTTTTTTTTTTATTTCCAGGCTTCAGACTCTAGGGGGTCAGCTTAGCATTGGTGTCGGCCTAGATTCGAGTAAATAAGGTATTTTGCTGTTCCTGGATTGAAAGAAACCAACACCAATTTACGTGGACATTTAGAGCCTTTGATTTGATTCTTTCTATGTTATAATGAAACACGGCTCACAGCAGAACAATAAAGTACTTATTTCATGCTAATTACAAATTGCTGAAAGTCACACAAAACAGCAGTTGACTTCATTTTCTTTGTCGAAATGTAACAGAGGGCCTTGCAAATATGATATGTGAATTTGACCCATTCCTAGAAGGTGCATCATAATTCATGCCTGAAGGGGATATGGCCCAGGCAAGGGAAGTTCACTTCTGGCATATATTTATATAGCCCAGAAGATGAAGCACAACGAAAGACTTCACAACACGAGCCCTGCCCGACAACTCGCTGCTTCATTCAATTGAAACAGACAAAAAAAAAAAGCATGCACACTGTAGTGTACAGCGTATCCCAAAGGACTACGGTCACTAGCAAGAGTTCGGTCTTAGCGAGTTGCACGGAATGCGTTCACCGCCACCTCGCGTGACTAACGCCGCTCCACACGCGCTTTTGGACAGCCAAGGCACCGAGCACAGCGTGACAAGTGCACAGTTTCGCTCTCAAACAGGACACAACATTTTATCGCCTGCTGCAACGCCAAAAACACAGTACAGAGCCCATTGCAAAAAGTCGGCGGGAAAGGGAAGAGGCTTATCCAGACCACGGCGAGAAGTACAACACAGGGTGCCGTGTGCACTTCTCTGTGGGCAATACGGATTCTTGGTGACAGGTCGCTGAGGGAAACGGGCCCTTGTGACTATGCTGCATTGCTCTCACGATTCAGCATAACAGGGCCCGATCACGCGAGCGAGAGTAAAATCTGCTTGCGTTGGCTTCGAGAGGTACGAGTTGGCGTAGTAGGACCACACCCACAGACACCGCACAGCTCTTCGACCTAGCGTTCGTAAGGGGCGACGAAAGGTAAGCGTTCACCGTGGGCACAAGGCACCGCTGGCGAAGTCTGAAAGAGCCCCAAACAAAAAGAGCTGACGAACGAGAAAGAAATGTGTGCTTACTCTTCGTCATCCTGGAGAGGTTCTGACTCACTCCCGACACGCGCGCGCGAAATGTCCTGAGAGACCGAGTGCAGCGCCACAGTCCACATCCGGGCAAGAGCAGTCAAAAACACTTCCGCTCCCCCAAAGCTGACGGACGTGGAGGAAGAAAGAGTCATGTTAGAACACGAGAACAGCAGAATTAAGAGGCAAGGCTCGCCTATTTCTGCCGACGCACACAGGTTACACACGTAACCTGTGTGCGTCACAAAAGACTTGAAACATCATTATGTCTTCTCCAAATACGTCAGTTTGCAACTAAGTAATTCAATCGACAGTGCGCTAGCACACGCATCACCATTTTTGCAGATAGCGAAGGCTTCAGATATCTCTCTCATGCAAGAATCCATGTGTCTATAAACGGTAGTCGTGCGGCACAATTCTGGGGTGCAACCACAGGTCGCACAGTGCACAGAAAAATGAGAGATTGGCGTACAATTTAATAAATTATAGTGCTCACGCAAGTTAATGTTGAGGCAGTGCCTCATTTGACCCACAAACCTTACCGCATGACAATAGAATGGAATAAACGACATCGTCTTTGCAAAGAATAAACGACATGCGGTGCTTGACTGTGCACGTTCTGCTAGACAACATCTTGACACTCGAGGTGAACTTATCAATTCTGGCACACAGCGTGCTGAGCTTCATTTTGGCAGAAAAGTGAAAATGAACGTTGAGCTTATATGGTGAGAAATACCATGAATATACGGAATCACCGCTGGCCTCTTAGTCTTTCCTAATTTCGCATTACACGGTCCAGCTTGAGCATTTTTAACCGTGTTCAAAAACTTTTAACATTGTGGAAACATTGGCAGCATGGGGGAAAGCTGCTTGTTTCAAACATTGAACTTGAGATAAAAGGCTGAAGGACATTTTGGGGACACAAAGACTTTGTTCACACAGAAAGAATAGTGTTAACGACAATGAAGATTTTACAACGTTGAAAAGACTGGAGCAATAGCCGAGCAAGCACTTCCTGGACCCTGGGGAAAACTGCCATCAAACATGATCTTAATTCATTGGTGTTTCTTAATTATACGAGTGATCTGTTTTAACTGTGGCATTTAAAGCAAAGCCCTTTTTGTTGTCATCAAGTATGTCGATATCGATGTCCAATGCTTGTTAGACTTGTTGCAAAATACAGTAAAACTTTGATTAAACGTCTCTCGGTCCGGTGACGACCTGTTTCTTGCGATGAATTGATTTGGTCCCAGCAAAAGCCCCATAGAAATAATGTATTAAAAACCTTGGTTATACGACACAGTTTTACGTTGACACCGCATCTCAGGACCATAGAGTTTCCTAAATACACACTAGAGGGAACTTTGGCGCTAATGTATATGGGAGCTGCAACGCACAGCGCTTCAGCGAGCATAGGAATGATGGGTAGTACACGGATTTGTCTAATCATCGTACTTCAGGCTCAATGTGTGTTCATGTGGCTTGGAGCTGTTCTGCCACGGAAAAAAAAGCAGCGAATGTTCAAAGAAAGTGCTTCATCACCTGAATCTTTTGGGCTTACCATTTCAAATCGGGTCACTAACGCTCAAAAGAGTTCATTTTTTTCCTTCTAAACAAAACCAAAACACATCAATAAACAAAGCTACAAATGCGATTTGCCCCCCACAAGTACGAAGATTAGGCAAATTCGTGTGCTACCCATTATTTCCATGGTCACTGAAGGATCGCAGTGCCAGAGTCTCCTCTATTTAATTATGGGAAACTCTATGCTCACAACGACTTTCATATTGTCACGAGGTCGTGACGTGGCCGAAGACAAGAGACTTCGTGTTGGGATTTAACTGTTTATTTGGGCGAACCTGTGCCCGGTAAACGGAAAGTCCAATTACAGCAGCAGTCTCGCACAGATAGCAGTCTCGGACTGATAGCGGTGAACGGAGCGTCGGCCTTCGATCAACAACTGACAAGTGGCGAAGCGCGTCGGCATTTATACCCTTGCCGTCGAATGTTCTAGCGTTATTCGCTGGCGGTGGCGTAGGTTCCAGAACGATCTGTACCATTCGCACAGTGGGCGTGATCTTATCCAAATGATCTACTACAGTCCGGAACCTTCTCGAAACCTGCAGGCGCGGTTTGCGCCGAGAATCGTGTGTTGTTTCGGAACGATAACAAGAACTTAGGAAATGAAACGTGGCATTGCCCCCCTCTCAAAAAAGGCATCGTCCCGATGCTTTAACTAAAGATGAAGGTACAATAAAAATGCAAGAAAGTACAATGAATAAATTACAATACAACAATAATACAAAAAACACTGTTTCAGTTTGTTAACGTGCATGAAACGGCTTGAGGCGCGCGACATGGACGACTTCAGGTCGCGATCGGCGTCGTTGAGAGTTCGTGATGCCGTCAGGGACAACCTCGTAATCAAGTGGGCCGAGACGTCGAACCACCTTGTACGGTCCGAAGTACCGTCGCAGAAGCTTTTCACTTAGTCCACGTCGGCGTATCGGCGTCCACACCCAAACACGTTCCCCGGGCTTGTATTCCACGAAGCGTCGTCGAAGGTTGTAACGGTGGCTGTCGGTCGTCTGTTGATTCTTGATACGAAGACGCGCAAGTTGTCGGGCTTCTTCAGCGCGTTGAAGGTACTCGCTCACATCGAGGTTTTCTTCGTCGGTGACGTTGGGTAACATGGCATCGAGCGTCGTTGCCGAGCTCCTTCCGTAGACCAATTTGTATGGAGATATCTGCGTCGTCTCCTGCACCGCCGTGTTGTATGCGAAGGTCACATACGGAAGAATGGTGTCCCACGTCTTGTGTTCGACATCGACGTACATTGACAGCATGTCAGCGATCGTCTTGTTAAGTTGCTCGGTGAGGCCGTTGGTCTGTGGGTGGTACGCTGTCGTCCGGCGGTGGTTTGTTTGGCTGTATGCCAAGATCGCTTGAGTTAAGTCGGCAGTGAATGCCGTTCCTCTGTCGGTGATAAGGACCTCCGGGGCGCCGTGACGTAGGACGATATTTTCGACGAAAAACTTAGCTACCTCGGATGCACTGCCTTTTGGCAGGGCTTTTGTCTCGGCATAGCGGGTGAGGTAGTCGGTAGCTACCACGATCCACTTGTTTCCGAAAGCCGACGTCGGGAACGGCCCCAGTAGGTCCATACCAATCTGCTGGAAAGGTCGGCAAGGTGGATCAATTGGCTGCAGAAGTCCCGCTGGCCTTGTCGGCGGTGTCTTGCGTCGCTGACAGTCCCGGCATGTCCTCACATAACGAGTGACGTCAGTGGTAAGACGTGGCCAGTAGTACCTTTCTTGTATCCTCGCGAGCGTGCGGGAAACACCGAGGTGCCCTGCCGTCGGATCGTCGTGCAGGGCCTGCAGGAGTTCTGGTCGCAGAGCTGAAGGCACCACAAGGAGGTACTTAGCTCGAAGCGGTGAAAAGTTTTTCTTTTGTAGAAGACCGTTTCGTAGAAAGAACGACGCAAGTGCGCGCTTGAATACCTTCGGGACTTCGGCGGTCCTGCCTTCGAGGTATTCTATTAGGGCTTTAAGTTCCGGGTCGGCCCGCTGTCGTTCAGCGAAGTCGTCGGTAGTTATCGTTCCCAAGAAGTAGTCGTCATCCGAGTCGTCGGGTAGCAGTTGGTCGACAGGCGCACAAGAGAGACAGTCAGCGTCGGAGTGTTTTTTGCCGGACTTGTAAATGACAGTAATGTCATATTCTTGAAGTCTCAGGCTCCATCGTGCGAGGCGACCTGAAGGGTCCTTCAAGGTGGCTAGCCAACACTAGGCGTGGTGGTCGCTCACAACTTTGAAGGGCCTGCCGTAGAGGTAGGGGCGAAATTTCGACGTAGCCCAGATGATGGCGAGGCACTCCTTTTCTGTTGTGGAATAATTTGCTTCTGCTTTGGATAGCGATCGGCTGGCGTAACTAATAACCCTTTCAAGTCCGTCAGCCCTCTGCACAAGAACGGCGCCAAGACCTACGCTGGTTGCGTCAGTATGTATTTCTGTCTCGGCGAATTCGTCGAAATGGGCAAGTAACGGAGGCGTCTGGAGGCGATGTTTAAGCTCCTGGAAAGCGTGTTCCTGTGGTGTTTCCCACTTGAACTCCGAGTCGGCCTTGGTAAGGTTAGTGAGAGGATCGGCGATGCAGGCGAAGTTTTTCACGAAGCGCCTATAATAGGCGCACAGGCCCAGAAATCGGCGCACGGCCTTCTTGTCAGTGGGCGGCGGGAAATCGGCGATGGCGACTGTTTTCCGTGGATCGGGAAGAACTCCAGACTTGCTGATAACGTGCCCCAGAAACAAGAGCTCCTCATACGCAAATCTGCACTTTTCTGGCTTCAGTGTGAGTCCGGACGTCTTGATGGCTTGAAGTACAGCTTCAAGGCGCCGAAGATGCTCGTCGAAACTCGAGGAAAACACGACGACGTCGTCCAAGTACACAAGGCAAGTCTGCCACTTCAATCCTGCCAGTACTGTATCCATAACGCGTTGGAAAGTTGCAGGCGCTGAGCAAAGGCCGAAGGGCATCACCTTAAACTCGAAGAGGCCGTCCGGTGTTATAAACGCCGTCTTATCTCGGTCTCTTTCGTCGACTTCGATTTGCCAATAGCCAGTCTTGAGGTCCATTGACGAGAAGTACTTGGCGTTATGGAGCCGATCAAGGGCGTCGTCTATTCGTGGAAGAGGATACACGTCCTTTCTTGTGATTTTGTTCAGGCGGCGATAATCGACGCAGAAGCGTAGGGTCCCATCCTTTTTCTTCACTAACACCACGGGGGATGCCCACGGACTCTTGGACGGCTGGATAATGTCATCTCGCAGCATTTCATCAACTTGTCTCTTCATTGCCTCACGTTCTCGCGTCGAAACCCTGTACGGACTCTGACGGAGTGGTCTGGCATTTTCTTCGGTTATGATTCGATGTTTCGTGACTGGGGTCTGCCGAATTTTCGATGACGACGAAAAGCAATCTTCGTATTGCAGGAGCAGGGCCTTGAGCTGTTCTTGCTTATCGTTCGGAAGTCTGGGATTGACGTCGAAAGCTATGGGAGGGGCTTGGTTCTTCTGAGCAGGTTCCGCAGAATCGGCGAGGGCCAAAGCACTGGTGGCTTCGACAATTTCTTCGATGTATGCGACCGTTGTTCCTTTGTTCACATGTTTGTACTCACTGCTGAAATTCGTGAGCATAACCATTGCTTTGCCTCCCCGCAGCTCTGCAATTCCTCTTGCGACGCAAATATTTCGGGTGACCAACAGATGCTGACTGCCTTCAATGACGCCTTCCAAGTCAGGTGATTTAGGAGCGCCGACTGAAATAATGACGCTTGAGCGAGGTGGAATGGTGACTTGTTCTTCCAGCACATTCAAGACATGGTGTCCTGACGGCGTGCGCGGTGGTAGTGCTTCTTCTGTGGATAACGTTATCGACTTTGTTTTTAGGTTGATGACAGCACCATGGAGGCATAAGAAGTCCATGCCAAGGATGACATCTCTCGAGCAACGCTGTAGGACTACGAAGTCCGTAGGATAAATACGGCAGTTAATGGTGACTCTCGCTGTGCAGATTCCTGCAGGCGTTACAAGATGACCTCCGGCTGTGCGGATTTCAGGGCCTTTCCAAGCTGTCCTAACTTTCTTTAACTTCGCGGCGAACGACCCACTGATGAAAGAATAGTCGGCTCCAGTATCGACGAGAGCGGTCACACTGTGGCCGTCAATAAGAACGTCGATGTCGCTAGTTCGCCGTCTCGCATTACAGTTAGGGCGTGGCGTCGGGTCACGGCTGCGTCGGCTTGATCCGCTGCTTCCATGTTGCGTCGTCAGGCCACCTCCGGTAAGTGAGCTTTCGCCATCAGGGCTTTGCCTGGTTGGCATTGTGTTCGGAAAGCTCCGTCGCGGCGTCGTCGTCGTCGTTGTCGGAGGATCTTCGGTAGTTCGTCGCACAGCAACCACACCTCCACCGGTTGCTGCCCTTAGTTTCCCGGATACGGGCTAGGAGACCGACCCCGCGTTGGGCCGGAGTACTGCCGGGGGTGCGGTGACATGCGGCGGCTGGGCGACGGCGAACGGCAAGGACTTCGGGGTGTCCATTGAGTTCCTGCCAGGTAGTCGGCGATGTCACGTGGCCGATCTCCTGGCTGCGGACGCGGTGCATTGACGGCGAAGCCACGCAGTCCCATCTGTCGATACTGGCAACGGCGGTATGTGTGCCCCGCCTCGCCGCAGTGGTAGCAGAGCAGGCGGTTGTCAGGTGCACGCCAAACGTCCGTTTTTCTCGGTGCACTGCGTTGGCCCGCTGGGGAACGGTAGGACGTCGGTTGGGGTGGTGGCGGCGGTGGCGTCTGGCGACGGAAGTGTGACGGGGCGGCGTTTTGGCGTGGACGGGGAGGAGCGTTGTGGCGCACTGCAGCGGCGTAGCTCATAGTTTCTGGCTCAGGCAACGGTGTTTGGGGAATTCGAAGTGATTGCCGAACTTCTTCTCGCACAATGTCGGCGATCGAATCCACTTGAGGTTGCGCCGAAGGTAACAGTTTGCGCAGCTCTTCCCGCACGATCGCTCGGATCGTTTCACGCAGGTTTTCGGAGTCACTGGTTTGAGCAGCAGCGCATTCTGGAGTCAGGCGACGTTTATACTGTCTGGTGCGCATGTCAAGGGTTTTTTCGATGGTGGTCGCCTCGGATACAAATTCTTGGACTGTGTTCGGTGGATTCCTCATTAGTCCCGCGAAGAGCTCCTGTTTGACCCCTCGCATGAGGAAACGAACTTTCTTCTCCTCAGGCATGTCTGGGTCAGCGTGACGAAATAGGCGAATCATCTCCTCTGTGAAAATTCCAACCTTCTCATTTGGTAGCTGAACCCGGGTCTCTAGTTGAGCAGCGGCCCTTTCTTTGCGAGCGACGCTCGCGAACGTTTGCAGAAATGCGCCGCAGAAGACATCCCACGTTCGGAGCGTGGACTCACGATTCTCTAGCCAGGTCCTTGCGGTGTCTTCCAGGTAGAAGTACACACGCTGGAGCTTTTCTTCGTTGTCCCAGTGGTTGAGGGCGGCCATACGGTCGTATGTTTCTAGCCAGGACTCCGGGTCTTCGAACGATGACCCATGAAAAATTGGTGGTTCCCTGGGTTGATGCATGACCATCGTGGGCAGGGATGCGGCGGTTGTCATTGTCGCTGCAGTCGCGGTCATGGCCTTGGTCTTCCGCGCCTTGTCTTCTAGAATCCCGTACTCCGGAGGTAGCCCTTGCTGTCGGCGGCTTGTTCGCTGCTCCTGGTTGGCGTCGGTGTCTTCTCCGCGATGTGGGCTGGGTTCACGGCTTGACGGGGACGTGCGGTACATGAACGAAGCAGCACCTCCACCAGATGTCACGAGGTCGTGACGTGGCCGAAGACAAGAGACTTCGTGTTGGGATTTAACTGTTTATTTGGGCGAACCTGTGCCCGGTAAACGGAAAGTCCAATTACAGCAGCAGTCTCGCACAGATAGCAGTCTCGGACTGATAGCGGTGAACGGAGCGTCGGCCTTCGATCAACAACTGACAAGTGGCGAAGCGCGTCGGCATTTATACCCTTGCCGTCGAATGTTCTAGCGTTATTCGCTGGCGGTGGCGTAGGTTCCAGAACGATCTGTACCGTTCGCACAGTGGGCGTGATCTTATCCAAATGATCTACTACAGTCCGGAACCTTCTCGAAACCTGCAGGCGCGGTTTGCGCCGAGAATCGTGTGTTGTTTCGGAACGATAACAAGAACTTGTGAAATGGAACGTGGCAATATTCCGCCTGAAATAAAAAAAGCCACCCTTATAACCAAGTTCTTTGTATCGAAAAATTCGCAATAAGGGTTATTGTTAACAATGTATCTAGCGGAAGACTATTTACGATTTACTTTGTTGTAATCGATATTTTGCTTTTATCCGTGCGTTGTATTGACGTTTGAGTGCATCTGCATTCCAGGACACTTTTTGCAACTACTTATCTCAGAAATAGCTCGTAACATCAAAGGCGAATGTATCACAGTATCTGTATTTTAGGCTTCCAAGACGCACTTCAATATCATTATTCTGTAATACTTTTCCGACTATCTCTGCCCAGCCCAGTTACATAGTCACCCCAACAGGTATTGCACCTGTGGTGATCTCACTACTCGCCGTAGCGGCTGATCACCGCGGGTTCAGGCTTAGCGAGCTACAGGGCCACATCAGCGCCACCTACTCACGTGTAGCGCACCGCTCCGCGCGCGCTCAACTAACAAGGACGATTAGCGCGGCGTGGCAAAACAGTGTTCGATTAACAGCAATACACAAACACTTTATTGCCTTTGGTGGCACCCTGAACAACAGTACAACGTCCGCTCCCGGGACGCGGAGAGCAAAGGCTCCCGCATGCGGACGTTCACGATAAGGGGAAACCGCGAGCACGCCGCAGCTGGCAATGGCGAGCTTTGAAACACTGGTCGGGTAAAGGTCCTCGTGGCTATGCTGCGCACTCCTCTCTCACGAAGGCCACTGGGCCTGGTCGCGAAAGTTAGGGAAACCTTGTACATGCAAGTTTGCGGCAAGTGCGGGCTTGACGTGGTGCAACCACTTCAAGCCCTAGGCACCGCTGTTGACTTAGCGTACTGTACCGAAGCTAACACTCAGGTAAACACGCCCGCCGAGAATGCCCAGGCAGCCAGACAGGCAACAGTCCGGCGATTCCCAAAGGGAACGTGGGCGAAGGAAAACCACGTGCTTACCGAGTGCTGGCCAACGGAGGAGAGACCTTTTCTGGAGCGCATGTGACTTTGCCTCGCCGGTTCTTGCAACCCCCAATGAAATGCGCCGACACTACCTATCGCCCCGCGTCATTACCAGAGCACGAGAAGGAAAAGGACAGCGACCGTACGGTGGAATGCCCACGAAATGGTCGCGGGCGCGCCTCAGATTCCCACACACCAAAGAAAGCTGGCAAAAAGAATTGTTGAGGGCCTCACCACTGTTGCTGCCTGCAAACTCTTCCTCTGGAGCCATCACAAAGCTCCCCATACTACAGGAGTTAGCCACTGTGTCCTGCTTGCCATCAATCCAAATGTATTCCCAACTGATCAACATTGATCTCAGGGATCATGAAAAAGTTGATGAAAAATGGCTTAGCAATTAGTTTTCTCTTGTTAAATGCCTAGATAATTAACTCGTCAAATGGCTGAAGTTTCGCTGTTTTTATTTATGGCGGAAGAAATAGGACGGTATTCAATTGGCAGGCCGTTGGTGTGATAAGCCAAGCCCTTGCCAATGAGAAGGTGGTCAAGGCTTACCAAGCTTGATGTGCAGTCTCGAAGACACTTGGAAAGACCACGTTATACTAAGCCCTGGTTACATTACAGGTGGTTTAAGCTCTACGGTCAGTCTTGCTATCTCTATATGTCAGTTTGACTCAACTCAAAAGAAATACTGTACGGTAACAGCAAAGAATGCCACAGATATTAACAATGGACCGACAAAAGACCATACCCACTATACAGCGGTACCGAAGGCATGTCTGGCGGCACTGATGGTGGACCATGGCTGACAGGTAGTGAAGCACTCCAGGGCTGCTCCTGCTGCTGAAAGGCTGCAGGAGCACAGCAAGGGCCACACATTAACACTTTCTGCCAATGCACTCAAGTGCAAATAAAAAAAAAATTTGTGCTTGACACAAGGTTACCTTTATTATATGTAGGGGTGCCACATACAGGGTGACCCCATTAACTCAACGCAATAAAACACCCCCCAAATTTTGTGATCATATGGTCCCAGTCTATGAAACAAACTAGCGACTATTGCAGGTAAAATCAGTAAAGCCCAGGGCATTGGCCTTATCTATTAATGTTGCGGCGAATAAAAGCCTGGCTTGTGTTATGAGTAGCAAAAATTTTGAAGTTCCCTTCGAATTGGTTTGCATGATGTCAATGTTGTGAGGTGCGATTTATAGCTCTGGATCGAAAACGGGAATTTGAAACTTCATACGAATTATCTTCCAAGCTGTATTCGCTGTTCATAGTTAGTGGACGATAATTGCATGTTCATGAGAATGAATAGCGCAGGCTATCTCAGCCGCCAATATTTGTCAGTAGTCTTTTATAGATTGACGTCTATGAGTCTTATGACGATGCTGCAAAAGCGTCAGAGTTTTCAAGCATGTCCCAAAAAATGGGAAGCTTACTGTAATTTACTGCTGTCCCATTATATTGTCGCGAAGCTGTAGAGAGAGGAAGAGAGACGGCATGACATCGGCCGACGTGGCCACACAGATCTTGCCACTTTATTCCTGAAAATCTAAGGAGAGCGGCTGCCTGCGTCCGTACCGCTAGGCACGACTAGAGCGAAAGGTGCAGCACTGTGACTAACAACTGTGATGACTGAAGGCACTACAAAGCCTTGTAACACTCAATCCTCATTATATTATAACAAAGTTGCATCTTTCATAAAAATAAGTTTGTAAAATCTAAAGATTTGTAGTAAAGCTTTATTTCTAACACTATTGCAAGATTTTTCATTTAATTCGTTATAACCAATATGGTTTTGTTGTATCCAGGTTTATTACATCGAGGTTTGAGTGCAGTCTCATGTTTTAAGAGAACTTTACCTAGGGCTAGTTGGTGCATATTCATATTTGCTTTAAAAGGTATGAAAACACAAACACAAAAAAGGGAGTTAGTATGAGGTACCAATAACCAGCATGTTGGGTGTAGCGCAATCAATGCGGCTGATGTAGAGCGCGTAGCCAGTTTCTGACCCGTCAACTAGCGAAGTCAATCGGTTCCGCGAAGACGAACGCGGAAGACCCCGAGCATGGCAAAGAAAGGGGCCTCCTTCATTCTCACGGTTCACAAGCGGAGCCGTCAAAGTAATCGCCGTTCGAGACTAGAAGGAGAAGCCTTACTCGGAAAAGCGTCTAGCAAGAGGCAGGTCAGGCGCCACCGTATGAGTTAAAGCCATTGTTGGCATGCACGCGTGTCATTGAGAATGACGCGGGGACGAGACCACTTGGCTGACCGAGACATAGTGGCGGCAGGGAAACGACCATAATCTCCCCCGCTGTTGTTAGGATGTCGGGGCGCCTCGCTGTCGCATGCACACCTGGTAAGCGCACGGAGCCCAACGGTGTACCCACCGCTCTTAAAGAGGCTTCTACGAAGCAACAATTAATGCGAGAACTGACGGGGCTCGAGCGTGAGAACGGCTGTCGACGGAAGTCGGCCGACGGAGGCAGCACAGCCTGGCATGGGAGAGAGTGTCACACGCGCAGAACCTATCTCTTTGCGTGTTTTATTTGGTAACGTGGTTTTAACCAATGTAGTACCTGTTATGAAGGTGTTTCTGCGATTAGTTGTGATGATGCGAGTCCCAACATGTGATTAGTGTTTGTAAAGACTCTTTGTTCAACCGAGGGTTAAAAAGAGGATGTTTGAATTTTAAATGCGAGCGGATGTTCGGGCTTGGACTCTGGCAGTAGCCTGAGGCTACAATAAAGCGTCTCTTCACCGGACTACGGCTCTTCCTTCGCGCTGCCACCGTGCACTCGAGTCATCGAGGGGACCCATCCCGAACCTCAAATATCTTCTCTCCTTAGCTAGTGTTGAAGCTAGTCGAGGAGAAGGAAATTAACTGGCGCAGTTGACGTGGAGTGGAGAGCCCGCAGCGAGGAAGGTGCTGAAGTCCGGGAAGCTGACAAGACGCACGCTGCTTGAAGACCTGCTGGTGCGCTGCGAGAAGCAGCATTGACAGTTGATATAAGCCTGCTGGTCAACATTGGAGCCTGGAGTTAGGCTGCGCATCAGTGAACGAGAGCAGAGCCAAAGTTCGTCGTTGAGCTACGGACTTACCGGAGAAGCGCTGCAGGGTGCTGCTTCAGGAGCAGAGCAGCAGGGCAGTCAGTCGATGTGACAGACTGAGTCAGCGACAGGGGAAACCGGGCGGAGACCTGCTGCATCGGAAGTGGCCGTCGCACATAGCGTTGGTGACGATACGGACGCAGTTCCAATTCTCAAGTGCATCGGGCGACGCATCACTGCAAGGTGAGGCCTGCTTTGTGCTCTCTCGGGGCCCCAATTTTTTTTTTCTTCCTGAATGCACTTGCGTTCAGGCACACTCTGGGAGATGGCGGACTCAGATAGAGATGCAATAGAAGATGGCAGTGTGAGTGAATTGGATCGCACCCGCGAGTTGCAGCTCGAGATAGAAGTTTTAAAGCTCAAGCTTGAGCTAGAAAAAGTGAAGTCATCGCGTGCCTTGTCAGAGGAGTCGGAAAACCGGAACCGGCATGCTAGTATCGCACGGTACGCGAAAGACCTGAAAGCACTTCTAGTGCCCATGCCCAGTATTGAGCCGATGATTCCGGCTTGGTTCAATAACGTGGACGCTCTTTTTGCGGTACTGAGCATTCCTGAGGAAATTCAGGGCACGATTCTGTTGCCATTCTTAACAGATAAGATGCGTACGTTCAAGGCCAATCAATCGGAAGCTGGGGTAATGCCTTATTCAGATTTAAAGTTGAGGGTGCTAAGAGAGCTGAGGATGACTCCAACTGAGTACCATCGAATGTTTTTGGAAATCAAACGAGGAGCCGGTGAATCGTGGAGCCAAGTGAGAGCACGCCTGGAGACCATGTTTACGTACTAACTTCAAAGTAGAGAGGTAATGTCGTCCGAAAGTTTTCAGGAATAACTCATAGCTGACAGGCTGAAGCAGCTAATGCCGACTGATGTCCGCTCATTGGTCACTCAGCAGGAAATAAAGGGCTGGTTAAAGCCCAAGGATATTGCCGAGTTAGCTGCCAATATTGAAGACAGCCTTGACAGCAGCAGGCAGGGAGTTGCGCAATGGAGTTACCGTGGTACTGCGACAAGGAATCAAAGTTGCCGAGCGCAAGCCAAGCACTTTGCTAGTGCTAATTTCCGCCCTAGTTCAGGAGTGTGTTTTAGATGCGGACGGCAGGGTCACTCCCAAAGAAATTGCGAGCTCTCACGTGACACAGCTAATAAAGCAGAAGTTTCTTGCGTAGCTGCCCAGAATGAGCGGTCATTTGAGGGCCCAGCTACATCGCTGCGACACCCTGCCGTCATGAAAAACTCACTCATGAGAGACCCGCGTCTTGATATTCTCATGGGAAGCAAGTCCTGTTTCACACGCGTTGACACAGGTGCGGATGCTACAGTGGTACGAGAGAATGAAGTGTCCGCTGAAGTTTTGGACCAGAGTAGGGGCACAATAAGGCTAACAGACGCTTTCGGTCATGATGTTACTGCACGTCTGCTGTACGTACCTCTGGCTCTCCCAACCTCGTCGGGAAGCGCTGCTCAGCCTGTAAAGTTGCGATGCGCAGTGACTGATCAGTTGAATACGAGTGTGTCGGTATTGCTGTCCCGCTGATTATGAGTGTCTTCGCCATCACCGGCAAAAGCCACTGCACGACCTAAATGAGGGTAATAAGGGAGAAATCAGCTGTTCAAGACAGGGCATTACACCGAAGCAGTATTCACTGATGAGGGAGCCAGAGCATGTGCCTCGAGGTTTTAGCCTTAGCGCTAATGCCGTGCAGCGCACAGTGGAGAAACAAGACGGCCGAGCAAAAAAGCCGCAAACGATTAAGTCCGCTTCACTTGTAGAGCAGGCGCATTTGAAAAGTTGCAATTCTGCTGCGGAAGGTAATGTGGACAGCGAGCGGCTTGGTCCATTTCGTGGAAATTATCGCGATGAGGAAGAGGAACGCGATGAGCGTCTGGCTGATGTGCGGCATCAGGTGAAAGAGGGGTCGCACGTCAAGAGAACTGATAGAAAGCAGTTAGACCGGAAGCAGCCATGCCATTCAGAGAAACCAAAGTCGTGCCGAGACAAAGTGTTAACACACGACTCTTCCGGTGGTAAGTCGTCAGGAAAGATGAGGAAGCGCGTGAGCGCATACTTTGCCAAAAAGCGTCGTCTAGCGTTGGGTTTTGGCGGTAGAACGAGGGGGTTCTACGTCTTGCGTACTCCCAGTTTAAAAGGAAAAGTCCCCAGATTAGGACCATCGCGTGCCCGACTGAAGTGTAAAATAAAGCCGTAAGTTTGGAGAATTGAACTACCGGATTTGTTTGGTTTGCGTTGTTTTTTTTTAGGTTCGAAACAGTTATCTTAAGTGACGAAAGGTTTTTAGTAACAGGTATTGCATTTTTTCTTTAGTGTTTAGGAATGGTGTGTTATCGAAGAGTGGTGGCATGGTGAAAGGCTTTTAGTGAAAAGTCGGCTATTTATTGGTAACGGCAGTTCAAGAGTTTTGAACATGCTGCCGCACAACGTAGAGGCACAGGTAGCATTTGATTGAGGTATAGGGCTTGGTGTTGTTTTCTAAGTTGACGGCAACCAACCCCAGCAAAGCTTTCTGTTTCGCCATGGACGCATCGAAAAGGGCAATCAGAGGTCGCCTCTTTCAAACGATAGGTGAATGTGAACGATCGTCACAACCTTCAGTAAGAGGCTATGCCAGTCGCAACGGGAGGTGTCCACAGTGAATGAGAGGCGAATGTGAAACAAAATTGTTCGTAATTAGGGCGCTCTGAGCGAGGCTGCCGATCCTCTTTCGAGTATCGGATGATCATTAGATTCAGTGAATGTAACTGTTTAGAGGCAAGGTGACGTTTTGTCTGTTTCATATGGTTGAGTTTTTGTTGTTGGTATAGACAATATGACGTCAGACTATCTACGGTGCCTGTGCCCTGGGCCAAGCTAATGCAAACTAACTATAGTGCTGTGGACTTCATCCTAAGTGCATTATTCAGTGTTGTGCATTACGAGAGTGTTTTCTGTCGGAGGACTATTTGAGGGCATTATGTATATATGTTGCTGTGTCTATTTTGCAGGAGGATGCGAAAGTTCTCCTGTTGAGATGGAAGTGATAATCGGTTCACGCATGTGCGTGCACCGAGAGTAAGTTCATTTTGAGCGATTTTTTTGTTTGTTTTTGTATCGCGTTACTGGACATCGAGTATCCAGTAACACTCTTGAGGGGGGAGGAGTTAGTATGAGGCACCAATCACCAGCACGTTGGGAGTAGCGCAATCAATGCGGCTGATGTAGAGCGCATAGCCAGTTTCCGACCCGTCAACTAACAAAGCCGATCGGTTCCGCGAAGACGAACGCGGAAGACCCCGAGAATGGCAAAGAAAGGAGCCTCCTTCGTTCTCACGGTTCACAAGCGGAGCCGTCAAAGTAATCGCCGTTCGGGACTAGAAGGAGAAGCCTTACTCGAAAAAACGTTTAGCAAGAGGCAGGTCAGGCGCCACCATACGAGTTTAAGCTATTGTTGGCATGCACGCGTGTCATTGAGAATGACGCGGGGACGAGACCACTTGGCTGACCGAGACATAGTGGCGGCAGGGAAACGACCATAATCTCCCCCGCTGTTGTTAGGATGTCGGGGCGCCTCGCTGTCGCATGCACACCTGGTAAGCGCACGGAGCCCAACGGTGTACCCAAGGCTCTTAAGGAGGCTTCTACGAAGCAACAATTAAGGAGAGAACTGACGGGGCTCGAGCGTGAGAACGGCTGTCGACGGAAGTTGGCCGACGGAGGCAGCACGGCTTGGCATGGGAGAGAGTGTCACATGCGCAGCACCTATCTCTTTGCGTGTTTTATTTGGCAACGTGGTTTTAACCAATGTAGTACCTGTTATGAAGGTGTTTCTGCGATTGGTTGTGATGATGCGTGTCCCAACATGTGTTTGGTGTTTGTAAAGACTCTTTGTTCAACTGAGGGTTGAAAAAAGGATGTTTGAATTTGAAATGCGAGCGGATGTTTGGGCTTGGACTCGGGCAGTAGCCTGAGGCTACAATAAAGCGTCTCTTCACCGGACTACGGCTCTTCCTTCGCGCTGCCACCGTGCACTCGAGTCATCGAGGGGACCCATCCCGAACCTCAAATATCTTCTCTCCTTAGCTAGTGTTGAAGCTAGTCGAGGAGAAGGAAAATAACTAAGGGCATAAACTACAGTGTCCTTTTTTGTGCTCGTGTTCTCTCGTGCCTTAGAGTGTCCTATGTAGCATGCATACATGATGAATGTTTAGCCACAACTGCTGCATAGAAGTTGACATGCGCACCTGAACTAGAGGTGAGACTAATGCCACAATGTCTCACAGATGGCCTTACATATTTTCCGCAGAGAACAACTCCTATTAACAACTCTGCATTTGGTGCCTGCAGTAGTGATTTATAAGTGGGGTTTAACGTCCCAAAACCACCATATGATTATGAGAGACGCCATAGTGGCGGGCTCCGAAAATTTCAACCACCTGGGGTTTTTTTAATGTGCACTCAAATCTGAGTACATGGGCCTATGACATTTCCGCCTCCATCGGAAGTGCAGCCGCCACAGCCGGGATTTGATCCCGCGACCTGCAGGTTAGCAGCCGAGTACCTTAGCCACTAGACCACCGTGGCGGGGCATGCCTGCAGTAGTGCTGTTGCAGATAAGCACCACAAAGAATGAAAAGCATGAGGACTGTTACTAATAAATTTGCAAGCATGACACATGATAATGAGTCTTAAGATATCTGCTTAGCATAACACAGTGCTGAAAGCGTACTGCACCCTTTTATAAGCAACAAAGCACTTGTGTTACCACCAGTGCACAGACAGCAGGTACGAACGTCATGGGAAGCGCCATCCGCGAGTAGGTGACATGCTGCACACAACCAGAGGAAAAATACCTAGATGCCTATAAGCAGCATATGTCGTCAATGTGTATGGGTATCAGAGCCCGTATGCCTTTTCTTCTTTCAATTTAAGATTTTCAGCAAGGACTCCAGAATTATCAACTGTAACTGCATTCAACCAAGCACACAGCAGCTGCTTCCACTAGAAAGGTTTACCTGAGGTTAGAAAGGGCTGGCTACCTCTCAGCTCTGGTGGAAACTGCATGCTGCATGTCTTCAGACACTCGACAGCTGGTCCTGCAGTAAAAAACAATCTTGAGACAAGCACCAAAAGTCCTTGCATTTTATCAACAACTATCTTTAGGGTTGAAAAAGTAGGTTCGTCGTCACTTTCATATACCTATCATATAATTTCCACCTAACTCTTAAAGAGCTGGCTACCTCTCAGCTCTGGTGAAAACTGCATGTTTTCAGACACCCGACAGCTGGTCCTGCAGTGACAATCTTGAGACAAGCACCAAAAGGCCTTGCATTATTCAGAGCAGATCCGGCAGCCGCGCGGGCACGCTCACTTACGCTGTCCTGTTTTTGCTGCAGGCAAAGCTCAAGAAACTGTCTTCAACTGTATGCAAGCTAACGTGGTCTTCGGCAGCTGTGTACTACTGCGGCTGCGCAAGTCTACGACTGACGTCACCACTTCGACGCATGGCAGGATCACCGTCCTACCAGGGCTAGCCAGGGGGGCGTTTCCGGAGTCCTTATAAAAGAAGACAGCACCGTTGGACTGGCATCAGAGCAGATCCGGCAGCCGCGCGGGCACGCTCGCTAACGCTGTCCTGTTTTTGCTGCAGGTAGGCATTCTGTATTCATTACCTATGTAGTAACTAAAGCCTTTGACTAGGATGGCTGTTGGTCTGCTCTGGTGCCATCCGCTGTTTTCAGTGCTTTATTGATGTTGTCATTTTAACGTTGTGCTGTGCATTTACCATGGCAGGAAAGAGCGTCGTGGAGGACACCGACACTGATGCGTTAGTGACCTTCACAAAGGCTTTGGGTGATAAAGCCCCTAACAGCATAAAGGAGGTGGTGAAAGTGTTACTGGAAATGACCACTAAATTTACCGATGCAATGAACGATCTCAGGTTAGAAATGAAGAAACTTGATTCCTCGAACAATAGCATAAAAGCTGAGCTATCATCAGTAAAGATGTCAATGAACTTTGTTAATACGAGTTTTGAAGAATTTAAGGAGGAACTAGAGTCGCTTCGACAAGAACTTGCAGAAGTGCAGAAAGAAAATGTTGAGATTCTGAAAACAAATAAGAAATTGAACAGTGAAATACAGGTAATTAGGAAAGAGCTAACAGAACTAAAGCAGTACGGAAGAAGGAACAATGTTGAAGTGAAGGGTGTTCTGCTTGTGGAAAACGAAAACATACTCGACACGATTGAGAACGTTGCCAAATGCTTGCGCATTAAACACTCCAGCAAAGAAATTGAGGCTGCACATCGCGTTCCCACAGAAAGTGGCACGCCCCCAAATATTGTCGTCCGATTCGTGTCACGGACTTCGAGAGACAACTTTCTGAGAGCCGCTAAAAAGCACCGCCTTAACACTTCAATGCTTTGTTTTGAAAATAACACGCCGGTGTATGTCAACGAACATTTGTGTGCAGAGAACAAAGTCTTGCTGGGTAAAGCCATACAGGTAAAACGAGAGAAGAACTGGAAGTTTGCATGGGTATCCGATGGAAAGATACTAATGCGTAAAAGTGAGAACTCCCAAATACTACATGTCATGTATTGATGACCTTAATAAAATAAATTAACCTCTTTTTATGGCTGAGTCTCACACATCGAACCCGAAAGGAAATATAACTCTTTTCCACTGTAATACACGCAGTATAAGAAAAAATCTTAATCTTCTTTTTTCGTCTATCTCGCGGCACGGCAAACATTATGACGTAATAGCAGCTACAGAAACATGGCTGAGAAAAGATGAAACTGTTACCATACCTGGCTATAAATTGATATCTCAGCCACGTGCATCTAACTCTCGCAGTGGAGGCGTTGCTTTTTTCGTAAAGAACGGACTCCGCTTATCTTTACTATCTGAATTCACATGCAGCCTCCCATATATAGAAGCACTTTTTGTAAAGATAGAATGCTTTGTTGCTGTTGGTGTGGTGTACAGGCCACCAAACGCCGATACTAGCTGTTTTTTTGATAAACTTGAGGGCATTCTGTCTACCCTGGCAAGGAATGGTCGTACCAGGGTTATTATTCTTGAAGATATAAACATTGATGCCTTTAGTGCTAGTTATAAGGACTACACTTACCTTATACAATCATATAATTTCTGCAATCTGATCACGGCGCCTACTCGAGTAACAAGTACAACAGAAACTATGTTAGACCATGTCCTCACAAATATTCCTAACAACATAACAGCAGGTGTTCTTAATGAGTCTGTCACTGATCACATGCCAACTTTTGTCACTGTGGATGGAGGGCCTATAATAAATCATCAGAGGAAGGTTACTTCTTATAGAATTGATTACTCTAAGGTTCATTATTTCTTACGCTCTTTTAGATGGCATGAGGTTTATCATGATAAGGTAGACCAGGAGTTTTCTAATCTAATTAATGTTATTACGGAAGCCGTACATACCTCGAAAAAAGTCATCCGTAGACGCTCATATGAAACACCAATCTGTCCTTGGATGACTCAAGGTTTATTAGGGACGCTTAAGGCTAAAGAGTACTGGTATCATAAGTGGAAACGTGATAAGCACAATGCTCATCTACTACATGAATATAAAACTGCTCGTAACAAATCAGTAGCCATGTCATGTAAATGTAAAAAAGGATATTATTCGAAGCTTATTGAGCAAGCCTCCGGTAACTCGCGCAAAACTTGGCAAATAATAAATGAAGCAATCGGGCATACTCGTGCTGAAAAAACGCTACCCGACAATGTCACTAAGGACACTGTCAACGACTATAATACTTATTTTACAAATGTTGGTCCTTCGTTAGCCAAAATGCTGCCTATTTCTAACAAAACGCTGTATGAACCAACGTCCTTACCAAATAGCTTCGTTATAAACAACATAGAGATTAAAGAAATTCGGCTTATTGTGAGTAAACTAGTAATTAGCAAAGCGCCGGGTCATGACGAGATTCCGGCACGTGTTATAAAAGAGAACTTTGATTTAATTGGAGAAGTATTATGTAACCTATTCAACCACTCATTATATGCCGGTCAATACCCATCAATACTCAAGATAGCCAAAGTCACCCCTGTTTACAAAGAGGGAGATAGATCCGATCCTTCTTGCTACCGCCCGATCTCTGTACTGAGTGTACTTAACAATATCTTCGAAAAAATGATTTCAAAACGTATGCTTTCCTTTTTGAACAAATATCATGTGTTATGTCCGCAACAACATGGCTTCCGGCCAATGCGCTCTACAAGTACAGCAGTGCTCACACTAAGCCAAGTTTTAAATACTGCCCTCCAAGATAACAAATTCGCCGCAGTGGTTTTTCTGGACCTCAGAAAAGCGTTCGACACAGTAGACCATGACATCGTACTTTACAAATTATGTAGATATGGTTTTCGCAACACTATGTCGAATTTTTTTCAGAGTTACCTTCAAGGTCGAGAACAGGTGGTAGCTATCAGTAACATTACTTCTTCTCTCCAGTCCATTCAAACAGGTGTGCCACAAGGTTCCGTATTAGGTCCGTTACTTTACTTAGTATACATAAATGACTTGCCTCTCGTACTAACAACTGCCGAGATGCTTATGTATGCTGACGACACTGCCCTAATTATTACCGGCAAAAATCTGTCAGACATGGAAGAACAGATGAATACTGAACTAGCTAAGCTTGCCGATTGGTTTACAGCTAACAAGCTTACCATCAATGCCAAAAAAACAAAATATATGTTATTCCACTCCCGTACTAATCCTACTCCCCATGATATACAACTCTACATCAATAATTGCTCCCTGGGATGTGCCGATTCTTTTACTTACCTAGGTGTTGTTCCAGACAGCTGTTTAAACTACAGAGTCAAATAGAAGCAGTCAGCTCGAAACTAGCTTCGAGTTGTTACGTCCTTTTGCAAGCACGCGAATATTTTGACACTACAATTTTGCGCACTTTGTATTTTGCTCTAGTTAACTGCCACCTTCTCTACTGCGTAGAGTCATGGGGTTCGACATATGACTCTTATCTTGACGGCTGCAAAAACGGGCTATACGTACGATTACTTTCTCACCTTACTACGAACATAGCAAACCACTTTTTTCTAGGTTAAAGATCTTACCATTTGATTTTGTGCGGGAACTAAAATTAGCTACATGTATTAACGGTATCGTTAGGAACAATGAACCATTCCCAATTTCATTACTGTGTATTCCCCGATGCCAAACGAAGAACCAAACTTTTAACAACTTCAATGTACCACCTACAAAAAACGCCTATAGCAAACGTCTCCTAGAATATACCGGAGTGAAAATTTGGAATGGCATACCGCGTTATATAAAGAATACCCAGAACTTTTCCAGATCACTGAAAAAATACTACTTTGAAGCAATTTTCCCTGCTTGAGTTGACTGATACTTTAGGTTGTAATTTTTCATTATGAATATATATTGCCCTTTATGTGTTTAGTGTTTCTTTGAAAGATGTTTCAATACCCTTGTTCTCTATATTAAGCCACATAAGAGAAATACTATTGATACTTGCAACTACAAGTATCATTCTTCAGTTCTGTACCCCACTAATCACAAAATATTCGTGTTTACTACAAGTTATGTACTTTCCCTTTTTTCTATGTTCAATCGAATTCATGTGACTGTTGTTAGCAGATAAACATTACTTCTTGTATACCAAATTTGAATTGTTTACTTTTGTTTATTTTCAATTAGAACTATTACAGTTTCAGTTATGTATACTTTCAATGGGACCCGCACTAGCCTTTGGCTATGGGACCATACAGTTCGTGCTTATATTGTATAAGATATGAGTGCAATAAAGATCATTCATTCATTCATTATCAACAACTATCTCTAGGGTTGAAAGAGTAGTTTTGTTGTCACTTTCTTATACCTATCATATGATTTCCACCTAACTCTGAAAGAGCTGGCTACGTCTCAGCTCTAGTGAAAACTACATGCTGCATGTCTTCAGACACTCGACAGCTGGTCCTGCAGTGACAATCTTGAGACAAGCACCAAAAGGCCTTGCATTATTATCAACAACAATCTCTAGGGTTAAAAGAGT